AGATGGATGTTCGACTTAACAGTCTCCATCGAAACACTAGTATATCAAAGAAATGTGATCTTGATACTAGCTTATTACGAACCCTAGAGTTTGGTGGGGATTGTTGAACATATTATGGGCTTGACCCATATAATATTTAATAAATCAAATAAACTCTATGGCTCGTATTAATGCGCGATGTATGGTTTAGTATCATACGGGATTTTGACTAGACGTTGACTCGGCTTATATGGTTGAATATTCTTCATCTATATTGAGTGGCTGAGAAAAGGACATAGGCGTGCCACACACGCGCACGCGCCGCCGGCGGCGGCAGAGCCGAGGGCGTGGCTGTGGCGGATGGACGTGGTTTTACCACTCAAGTCACTTAATTACGGGAGTTACACATATTGATGTGGGTGGCTCCTTCATTACGGGAGTTTCATCCTTTACTGTCCGACTCTCTACGTCCCGTCACGTCTCTTGGTCTCTTCCACTGGCCCTTCGCTTCCCAGCCGTAGCCTTATATTCCGATCTTCCACTTTTACTTCCGCATTCACCACATTCCAGTAGCACTTGAGTTTCCCCGTCCCGTTTCCGGCGAGCACTGAAGTTGGGAGAGTAGAGCCTCTGGAACATTTTCGTCTTCGAGTTCAGCTGCTCGGGTGAAGGGCGGCAATCACGTTTTTGGGGAGTGTCGCCTGCGGCACGACTACTCGCTACGTATTCTTCCCGCTCACGGCGTCAACGTGATCAGCACTGCTTCCCATCTGCACTACAACTTGCAGGACGACTACACCGGCAGACACTATGTCGACTAGTGCATCCGGCTGTGCTGCTGGGTATGTTTCTGTTCTTCGTTTTCTAGTAAGGTCTTGTGTCAAGAATCTGCTGGTTAGTATTATGTATATGGCGTTCATGCTTAGTACACACAAGCACATGTCTGATGTCACCAACCTTTCCATTGTCGCTATTTTCTAGATTAAATTGCTATTGAAAATGCATAATTATCTAACAGTCCCGCCTCTTCGAGCTCGTGTTCAAGCGCCTCGCTCTCGGCAACAACGCCCTGCCGGAGGACGGCATCGGCGACATCGTGGCGCAGCAGCTCGCGACGCGCCTCCTTGCGGTTTCCGTTCGCCTCAACACCGGCACCGTCGCCATCGACCAGTCCGGTGTGATGCTGCACACCAGCGGAACCATCCCTGCCATGGCTGCGCTCAGAGAGGAGATTGGAGCGCTTCGGGTGGATGCCGGCTCGGCCGAGCCAATTAGCCACGACCTCAATTGCGAGCCAGAGAAAAAATAGAGTTGATAAAGATGCCACGCGTCGTCATATGTGTGGCCGTCCGCACGGTGGACCATCCCTACCCAATTTTTTTTCCAAAGAAATCTCAGAATCCTAGAATCCTATTCAAACAGCCTTGGATTCTATGAGATTATAAAACACATGCACAAAATTCAAAAAATACTAGACATTATTTTTTATGCAGAATCCAAATTTTTAGAGTTGCAACCAAACCATAGTTATTTGAACCGAACTAGACTGACGATCCAACCGATAAAAGATCGAACTAGAGCATCGGCATGTCCGGTCCAGCTTAGAAGACCGGCAAGCAACCAAACCATATAAAACCGGTGCCGATGGTTTTTCACGTAAACCGTATAAGATCTCCACCATTGAGCCACAACTCCACTTGTGTTTGAGTAGCGTTCCTCGTTACATTTGAACCAGATTAAACCAGTGTTTTAAATCTCCGGCTAAGACATTTTAGCGGATGATCTCAAAAACAGCTATAGCGGAGCTAAATGGGGATATAGCGGGCTATAGCGGCTAAGTTGTACATAGACACAAATAGATCTTTCTCAAACAGCTATAGCGGCCGGAGATTTGAAACCTTGGATTAAACCGGCAGTTCACAGACATGAAATCCAATAATTTTTTTTATTGAGATTATAGATCCGCAGGTAACCAACGGGTCCTTAGCTACATGTTGTATATTATATTATTATATAGAATATTAGTTTTTTTTTTCTAAAAAGGTGTTCCCTCCACCGTCACTTCCTTTTCCCTCATCAATCTCTCGCCCGCAACTCGGACCCGAGTTCGGCCCTCCCGCATCCCAGGCCGAGCACGAGTAGGCCTCTCCCTCGCCGAACTCCCGTCCGCGTCCGAGCGGAGGAGGCTGTCTGCCTGCGCCCGCTCCCCGCGCCTCCCTCGCCGGAGATCCCGCTCGCGCCGAGGTGGTCGCCCCTCTCGATCCGTCCCGGGCTCCCGGCGTCCCCGTCCCCAAGAGATCGCAAAATCCTAGCCCCCATCTCGCTCTCCACCACCCCCATGCCTCCCCACCGCCGAAGCCGCCGCCTCCGCGGTCAAGAGCCTGGTGAAGAATGCTCCTGCTCGTCGTATGTCCGTTTCCCCTCATCATGCGTCTTCTATTTTGGCAAGATAGATGTTTCGAAATTGAATAGTTCCTCTTGTTTATCGGTTGCCTGGATCGAAATCAAATAGTTCCTCTTGTTTATTGTTTATATTAGACAGATTTGTTTATCGGTTGTCTGGATCGAAATCGAATAGTTCTCTTTGTTCTATCAACTTTCGATAAACACGATGATAATATGTTAGGTGCCGAGAGGACAAGGAGCGTGAAGCTGCACAGACGCAGTCCGAGGCATTAGTTCAGGTGTCGGAACTATCCTCGCCTCCTGTGTCATGCATATGGGAGCGCCTGTGGCGTAAGTGGGGACGGCGATTTTATATCAGGCTCGATCGTCAGGGATGTTTCCATACATATCCTGATGTGGGTGGGCCATTTCAGAGCTTGCCGGAAACCTACGGGGCTATTGATCGCTATCTCGAGGACCTCCGGGATCCGAAGATGTAAGTTGTCTCACCTGCGTTACAGATTTGGATTTTCCCCTATTATGCATGCATGCTTGCAGCTGATTATATTTTAAAAAAAAGCTATGTAACCACATTCTTCAATGGCATAGGTCACAGTAGATAATCACATTTAAAAAAATAAAATAAAAAAGAACTATGGCCAAACTAAGTTAATCTAAGATTGAAAAGTATCAGCATATATTTCTTAGTCTTAGAATTCCTCTTTTGGGACCATCTAAAGTTAACGTGAGCATTTTGTAACTTTATTTGACAGTTGTTGAAATAGTGCAAAAGATCATACTACCGCTTTGCTTTGACAAAGCAAACATAGATGCTATAGTACCAGTGTACCACATACCACTTTGTTCAAATGTTGATTTGTATTATCTGAATTGTAACCCGTACAATTAGTTAACCTTCAGCCAGCTAATGAACGGTGGTACCATACAACAATGTTTCCTCATGTACTAAACAAAGTGGTTATAGGCAAACAATATGTTCTGTTAACTGATCAAAATAGTGTGAATAGTGTGATGGGAGCACAATTAGTTGGGCCATCTGAAAATTGCAGTGGGATACATTTTTCCCTTAAAAGAAGGTATAATGCACTTGAGAATTTGTAGGCATGTCTGCATATGAACAATCTTGTATCATTTTGCTGTTGTTGTTGTTATTTACTACCATGAGCTATGTGAGGTTGGTCCTAGTCAACAACCTTCTTTGCAAACTAGTGAACCTAGTACTCCCTTTGTCCCCAAAAGAATGCAATTCTAGCTTTGTCCTAAGTCGAACCATTTTAAGTCGGACCATTTCATATAGAAAAGTAGTGATATTTGTCACACCAAGTAAGTACTATTGGATTAATCATGAAACATATTTTCATGGTATACCTATTTGGTTTCATAAATATTGATACTCTTCTCTATAAAGTTGGTCAAACTTAAGAGTTTGACTTAGGACAAAGCTAGAAGCCTAGAATAGCTTATTTTTTGGATGGGGAGGGAGTACATGGTATTGCTTTGTGTTCTCCACTTTTGGGAAAGTGCAATCTACTGATGAGATAGAATGTTCTCATCTAAATTAGGAAAAAATGGAGGAAGATAAGGCTATAATCGACGTCTTTACTGGCCTGATGGCACAATCAAGAGGCGTACAAGAGGACCTGTAACTGAGAAATCCGAAATGTGTCAAATGGTTCAAGCTTTAGTGGACAAGTATAATGAGGATCATAATCTTTTGGAGGTTTGCTCTCCCTTCTGCTCTCATTGTGTGTCTTGTTACCATTGTTGCGCTGTGTCTTATTGCCTTGTTAATGTAACAATTGCTGATCTGACCCATGCTTCTTATTTCAGGGTCTTGCACACGAACTCAAAGACGTTTTACACTACAACTCAATTTGTGAGAAGCAGAAATGGTACTATCATCTCAATTTCACTACAAAGATTAAAGGGGCTGGTCCAAATGAATGTAACCTGGACAATCTTTTCTTTGTGGAAGTGAGTATGCCACAAGCAAAGTTTACAGAACTGCTGGCTAACTGTTTCTGCAGAGTTAATCTGAATGACAATGGTATTATATACTCTTTATCGTAAATTAAGTACTGTTCAAATTCAGTTATTTGGTCGCACTAACTTCAACTTGTCTGCCTGTAATTGTAATGTATCTCTGGCTGTTAGCATATGATCGTTAGTGTGTTGACCTGTTTGTTTGCCCCTGTTCCATGTGTGCCACCTTCGTTGTCCTGGAGCTTTTTATTATTTATAATGTCAAACTGGTTAATGCAGAACAATGGTTGTGTAATGACTTTTTATTACCTTTAACATTATTGTGTGTTTGTGCTAGGTTGGTTCCTTTGCAGTTAACTTCTCTTTTTTTTTGTTAATAAAGGTCAATGCTATGGTTGCACCAGAGATGGAGATGTTGGTATGAAGCACCCTAGCAGTTCTGTTGGATACACTGCTGGTCATTTGAATGTGGGTTTGCCATCTGGATACTATGGAAAGTGGAAGAGGGACTATGAGGATGAGGAGGATGATGATAAATATGTATGATGACTTATTTCCTGGGAAGCCTTTCAGTCTTTCAACATTTTTGTTGCTTCAGTTTCAATTACACGTGTTCTCCCCCACTTTTACAGGTGAAAGCTAGGGAAGCTGAGCTAAGGCAGATGTTCAAGGTAATGTCATATCTTGTGCCGTATGGTACCATTTGTACTAAAATATTTTTGTTTCTGGATTGATTCTAGTTCCTGCTTGTGTATTTGTTGTCCTTAGGGCCTTGATAAGCCAGGTGTCTTGAAGAAACTTATCACGCCCCCTCCGTGGGCAACTAAACGAAAAGTACTGGGGTGAAACATCACAGTCCATTGCACTTCCTTGTGTCTGAATGTATATTTCGCAAGCAATAGCCCTTTTAATAATTATGTTATCTACCCAGGAACTCAGCTTGTTAGTTCATGTTGTTAAGACACTGAAGAAGAAAGCATATTTGACTGGCACTGAGAAACCATTTGAGTCGAGGTTGAGCTATTTGTAGCATGCTACTCTTGATAAATAAGTATCTTCGGAATGCCCTCAGGAGACCTTTTAATATTATATGTTATCTTCCGTTGCATTGACCAACTGTTTTAGGATTAGGAGATGAAATAGCCTATTGTTTGGAGTACATTCAAGGTCAAGAGGATCGAACTGCCTTGAGCGGCTTGTTCTGCGGAGCTGTTGTTGCATCCAAAGTTTCACGCAAGTGGGATCATGCAGGAATTAGCAACTGTCGACCAGACCAGCACCGTGGTGCCCCATTGTAACTCTAGTGGTCTAGTGGTGCACCTCTGTGGCTCTGTAGCTGTTTGGTTGGCTGGGCCATGGTGTCCTGTCAGGGTGGCCAGAGCCAGGTTTTTATTTGTGCAAAGAGGCATGCTTGTTTCGTAGCCAGTTGGCCCTAGTTGTGCAGAGTTAAGTTTGTTTGGCTGCAGCAAACGTCCCAACCATCAAGTACCATAACTATCAATATGAGATCATGTTTGTTTGCCCGGTGGCTCATGCATTGACATTAGAGGCCAAACGCAGCTACTGGAGGGATGCAGGTTTGTTTCACCTTGCTTTAGCTGTAGGGGGTACAGGGAGGCAGTGAAGACTGAAGAGGCGAAAGCTGGTGACGGCCTGAGGGGGAAGTAGATCTAGCGTCGAAGAGCACCAAGTGCTCCAGCCACCAGCAGCTCGGAGAAGGGGAAGAGCTGCCCGCTCGAAGAAGGCCTTACACACCGGAGACGGAGGCGACGACCTGCGATGGCGGCAGCCGAGCTTAGGAGAAACGAAAATGGATTTCATAAGACTAGAGACGGTTCTTCGCGCCGTCTGTAGTTCAGGCTAGTCCTAACAGATGATATCGTACTCCAAAATCCAAGACTGTCACGTAGGATACATGGTACTTCCTCTATCCCGAATTGTAAAACGTTTAACGTTTTTAACACCAAGTTTGACCACTCGTCTTATTCAAAAGAATTGTGCAAACAGTCAAATTTAAGTCATTCTTGAAGAACTTTTATTAATAAACCAAGCCACGACAAAAGAAGTGATATTTTGCATAATTTTTTGAATAAGCCGAGTGGTCAAACTTAGTGTCAAAAAAGTCAAACGTCTTACAACTTAGTCTCGAGTCAACGCGATAAATTTTATGCAGTAACACGTGGTGTATCATCTAGTTCAATGAAAGCCAGACTGAATTATGTCCATATAACTAGATGAGAGTAGAGATGAGACTTGTGTTGTGTTGTGCTAGCACGGCACAACCCTCTTGTGCTTCAAAGCGAGCACAACACGGTCTTCTCGTGCTTCATGCCGCTTTGGATGTGGCCTCTAGGCATGTGAGGTACTTTGGGTCATGTTGTATGACACGATAAGTCTTCGCTTCGGTCCAAGCACAGACCATAGCACGCCAGCTCGTCTTTGTGTCATGCCCACTCAAACATGACCTTCAAAATATCTTTGTTAGTTTTTGTTGTCCGCTCGTGACATAAAAACTATATTTGCTATGTATCATATTCACAAAAAATGATTTTCATAGTCCATTCAAAAATTAGATTAGAAGTAGTATAAAAAATTGTATCTTAGTGTTGTATATGTTGGAATGATCTCTCCACCATTAAGCCCAACGGCTTGATGGGCCTTTGATCCGCGCCCTGATCGGGGGCGCCCAGCCCATCTATGGCTGGAGGGCCCCTGTCACACTGCGATATATAAAGAGGTGGGGGCCGGCGGCTCTCAGTACGAGGTTCACCGTGAGCCGTACTCCCATCGACAAACCCTAAACTCGATCTAGTGAGGGGCGCAGCCAGTGACGGGAAGCGCCTCCGCCGCCACCGTCATCCCCGTCGCCACTGCACTGCATCACCGTCTCCACTGCGTCGCCTCTCTTCACCGACCGTCGCTGCCCGTGTGCTGCCTCCATCAACGAACCAGCGATGGCCGGATCGAGCTCCAACTCCACGGGATCCACTGGTATGTGAACTCTTCACTCTCCTCACACCCCTCTGTCTCTCTGTCTCCCTCTCGGTGTAGTGTTCTAGGTTTACATGTGCATGTGTTATTCCGAATCCATGTGTATCCCTCCTAGATCTACTGCTAGAGATCCTAAATGTTTTAACAATGGTATCAGAGCCGCCTATCTAGTACGTGGATCTAGATCAGAGGAAAAAATCGAAAGAAATCCAAAGAAGTTGGTCTGATTTTGAATCGGATCAAGAAAGAGAAACCCTAACCCTAACAGAAAGGGGACGGTCATCAGGGGCACGCCTACATGGGGCCCGGCCGTCCAATCACCATCGCCAGCCGCCTCTGTGGCGGCGCACGGGAGAGATAGCCGAGCCATGGGCTCGAGCTCACAGCAGAGAAGGGGGAGCCACGCCTAACCTCGAGCGCGCGGGCTCCGCCCAACTCAGGGCACCGTCGGAGGCCACTCGACGGCGGCACGCTCTGCCTCGGGCGAGCGCGCGCGCCGGCGAGGGGTCCCGCGGCGGCACCGCCATCTTCTTCCTCCGTCGGTCAGCCATGGGCGGCCACCGCTCTGCTGCTGGGTGGAGAGAGGAACGGGAGAAAGAAATGAGGGAGGGGATGCGGATCTGCTGTGGCGGGGCATCTCCTCACCGGCGAGGTGGCCGGGCGGCGGCGCCGCCATCCTCTGGCCACCACGGCTGCGCTGAGGAAAAGCAAAAGAGAAATGGGAGTTAGGGTTTCAGGGGATCGCCGCCGCTGCCGGTTTTTATTCCTCCGAAATGTGTGCTGAGCCGTCGGATCTCGTTGCCCTGAGATCAATGGCCAGGAGCGCTCGGGCCAAAATTGGCACAGGCGGGTTTGGAGTTTCCCGGGCCAGGCCCACTTTGCGGCCTGGGAAGCCGGGGACCGCGAGCCACGAGCGCTGGGCTGGGCCGTTTTGGCCGTTGGGCCAACAGAAAAGGGTTGGCCGAAAAAAGGGGCCATGCGGCTGGGCCGCTGGGGGCGCGCGCGTTGGGCTCCGCGAGCTGGGCCGCGCGTGCGTTGCTGGGCCAAAATGGCCTGTACACAGTATAGCTCGGGAACTGTTTATTTGTTTTTTTCAGAAACTGTTTACTTCATATTTGATGAATTTGAATTGGTTTTAATTCTGTGCAAATTTTTGATCCAACGATAATTTTGCATAGAGAACAGAACAGTACCTTTATGTTTCTGGAAAAATGATTATTGAATGTTAATGTTTCCGCTGCGTATTTAAAGATCTAATTTTTATTATTAAATTCGAACCAACAGGAGAATTTAATTTTGAAAATGGATATGTTTTAAATTGATTATAATATTGTTGTTATTCTGACCAACGTTGATTAATGGCAATATTATGATGTTTTGTCTTGCATTAATTCTATTTCTGCCCAACGGTGATGTAGAATTAGTGTAGAGAACAATTGTATGTTTTAATTTTAACCAACGTTGAAAATAAGGCATGCAATTGTTATTATTTGTGTTCTCACACTATTTGAATTGTGTTTTCAGGCAGATACAACTTGATGAGTTGTATCAAAGAGATCCCCACTCTAAAAGGGGATAACTACATTGAATGGAAGAAAAAGATCGACTTGGCCTTCATATTGACTGAGGTGGACTGGGCAGTCACCACACCATGTCCCAAAGAACCTGTGGCACCGGTGAGGGAGACAGATGAGACTGATGCTGCATGGCAGAACAGAGAGCGGGACTTTGCTCCCGTAAAGATGTCTTTTGACCTTGAAAATAGAAAGTGGGTCACAGCCAATAAGAAATGTTTGGTTGTGATAAAGAATACAATTGAGCCTGCAATAGTGGGCTCAATTTCAGACTGTGACACGGTCACAGAGTATCTAGAAAGAATAAAGAGTCAGTTCACTGGCTCTTCAAAGACATATGCAACCCAGTTGATCAAGCAGCTGGTCATAGAAAGGTACTCTGGTGGCGGCAGTGGCATTAGAGAGCACATACTGAGAATGAGTAATTTGGCATCTAAGCTCAAACCAATGGATTTAGCACTCAAGGATGAGTTTCTTATTCATTTATTTTTTGCTTCTTTGTCAAAAGAATTTGACACATTTGTTGTTAATTACAACATACAGCCCGAGAAATGGGATTTAGAAAAGTTCATAACCATGTGTGTGCAGGAGGAGGAAAGAATAAAAGTTTCACAGGGTGGTACTGTCAACTACCTAAAAGATAAGAAAAAGAACTATAATAACAGCTCTTCCTCCAAGTCATCTGGAAAGGGTCCTATGCAACAGTCTCAGAGCAAGCAATTCCCAGTGGATAAAGATCAGTCTCTCTACTGTAAGAAGACGGGACATTATAAGAAGAATTATCTCGATTTCCTAAAGATGATTATGAAAAATAAAGGTGAGAACATAATTACGTTCGTAAATGAATCCTTGTATGTCAAGTTTTCAAAATCTACTTGGTGGATTGATTCAGGTGTAACTATTCATGTTGCTAATTCATTACAGGGATTCTGTTCGATGAGAACTTTGCAAAGAAGCGAAAGTTTCATTAAAGTCACAAATGGAGTACAAGCAGATGTTGAGGCCGTTGGAGATCTTCCGCTAGAGCTTGCTGATGGCTTCATACTTTTTCTTAGAGATGTTCTTTATGTACCTTTTTTGCAAAGAAACTTGATTAGTGTATCAAAGTTGGACCATGATGGTTATGATTGCCATTTTGGAAATGGCAAATGTCAGATATTGTTTAATAATAGATGTATTGGTCTTGCCTTCCGACAAGACGAGCTTTATTTGTTATCACTTTGTGAAAATGTGAATTCCGTATGTGATGTGAATGAGAATGTATCCTCATCGAACAATGCAAACAGAAAACGAAAGAGAGCTCACGATGCGTTGTCGAAATTATGGCACTGTCGTTTAGGCCATATTTCGAGGGGGAGAATAGAAAGACTAGTTAAGAATGATATTCTTCCTCCATTAGAGCTCTCAGATTTAGAACAATGTAGAGATTGCATAAAAGGAAAGTATGTAAAGAAAATTAAGAAAG